GAACTGCATGGCACCGCTGGGGTCACACTGCAGCAGGCGCACGATGGACGGGTCGCTCTTGGCACCTGTGATGAACTCCTCCAGCGAGAGCTTCCCTGCGGGGAGGGGACACGGCTCAGCCTGGTAACCACCACGCAGGAACAGAGAGCTGTCGGCACATCCCACGGACACCCACCCACCCGGGATGAGCACCCCGGGGTGCCCAGCACCCTGAGCCCCTCCGGCTGCCCTGGCCACACCGGCGGACATGAGCCATTTAATCAGCGTGCGTGCGGCTCCTTCTAAGACCCCCCCGGATTTATCCATGAGACCTTTCCATAATCCCCTCCATCTCCTCTCATTTACCATCGTTATTAGTATCCATCTGTCGGAAGATTTTTTCCGTTCTTTTCTCCGGGGTCGATTCGTCTTCAGGCATGTTCATCACGGAGGAGACCATTTTGTAGATGGCCTGGGAGGGGGAGATGGGGATGAGGGTGGGTGCAGGGACCCGGCGTTGCCCACCTGAGATGGGGGCAGCTCTGGGCTTCACTTCCCTGGGAATGGTGATGTCATTTAACACCTTTCCCATGGGATCAGGCTGTGGGGGGGTTTCAACTCCCTGCTCAGCCAGAGCTGGAGCTGCTCCTGCAGGGAGGAGATGCCACTGATGCTCATGCCACGGGATTGGGGTTAAGACAAGGAGAGCATCTCCTGTCCCTTTGCCAACACCACCAGGTGTGCTTGGGGACAGCTGCCATCTATCCAGCCCTCCCTGGAAGCATGGGAAGAGTGCCAGGAAGGGGTAACAAAGGGATGCCCCCAGGACAGGGAAGGAGCTCTGGGTTAGACTGACCCTTGCAGCCACAGCTGCAGACAGCAACAGGCTCCATCCCAGGCACTGCCAAGCCCTGTACCCCCAAGGGGGGTACCACAGGGTGCACGTCCCCATCCTGGGGAGGGGACAGCCGCTGTGACACCGGGGTGACAGCCGGGACCAGGCAGGAGGAGCCGCGGCGGGGCGGGGGAGCCCGGTACCTGCACGATCTCCAGCATCTCCTCCCGGCTGATGTAGCCGTTGCCGTCCAGGTCGTACATGCTGAAGGCCCACATGAGCTTCTGCTCCAGCTTCCCGCGGGAGGTGACGCTCAGGGCGATGATGAACTCTCGGAAGTCAATGGTGCCGTCGCCGTTGGTGTCGAAGGTGCGGAAGACGTGCTCGGCGAACTTGGAGGCGTCGCCGTAGGGGAAGAAGTTGGCGTAGATCTTCTTGAACTCCTCCACGTTGAGGATGCCCGAGGGACAGTCCTTCAGGAAACCCTTGTACCAGCCCTGCAGCTCCAGGTCGGAGAACTCGGTGTTTTCCCGCAGGTCCTGGAGCATCTCCGGGCGCAGTTTGCTGTTCTG